TAGAGAGAGAGAGAGAGAGAGAGAGAGAGAGAGAGAGATAGAAAGAGATAGAAGGCCCATTTCAACGGCTGACTGACGTTATCAAACGCCGTCCCTTTAAATCAAAGCCTACTTGAGTTGAGACTCCGTAGTCCATGTGTACAGGGCGTTTAGAAACGAGTTTTTAACGAATCTTTCCACGTAAAAAAAGAAATTCCCCATCTCTGGTGATATGACTTTGTACCGCCTTCGTGCACTGTCTGCACCCGTGTACACATGTCTCATGATATGTGTGAGATGCCAACACTGTATCTGTGCCTGTAGGTCACAGTGTAAAGATACGAAAACGAGTGCACAGACTAGGGTTAGTAATACGCGTTAGATAAGATAATTTAGGTAATAATTTATCATTTAGATGCGTTATGGCTGGGAATGGAGGGCGAGGTAAACTAGATAAAATAGATAGAGAATAAATAAACAGATGGCGGCCTTGTGCTTGTGTGTGTTTCAGTGCAGGCACCGTGCGACTATGGTCCCCTACACCGACCGCCGCCCCTGGCGCCGGCGAAGAACCCGGATTAGAGATATACCGCATCGTAGTAAGTCACCTACTATATATATATATATATATATATATATTTATATATATATATATATATATATGTATATATATGTATATGTATATATCTATATATATATGTATATATATGCATGTATATTGAGTGAAGTATACCATGCTACACTACTCACAGTTGTCACGCACCCTGATGACATCCTCATGCCCACGCGGAATATGACCTGTACGTCTATAGCCACATAGATTTATTAGTATTAGTATTAGATTAGTACAGTGCCAGACAAGACAAGGCAAGACAAGAATATCAAGTGAGGGGGAGTCGTATACCATAAGTGGTATCAGGAGTGTATAATTAAGTATAATGACAAATATTTGTCAATAATACACTGCTGGTGGTATGTATAAGATGCTGCACTAGCTACAGTACTTCTCTCGTGACCCAAACAAACAAACACTCGCACACAGTTACCGACGACGCAGGGAGACGGCGACGTATAATGCAATAGATGCAACACTCATGCTCAGCAACTAGGAATTTATTATCTTACAGCTTATTATCTTATCTATAGTTTCGATGCTACTATAGCTGCAGTTCGAGTTACTGTCGTCTGGTGATGTGGTACGACTCCTAATCGTTGTGCGTCTGCGTTTTGTGTTTTAGAATTTCGAAGTAACAGCTTGGGACAAGAGGAAATATGGGGAGTTCTTTTCCGGTGACGCGTACATCATTCTCAAGGTAAGAGGAAGCGAGAGAGAGAGAGAGAGAGAGAGAGAGAGAGGAGGGAGGGAGAGAGAGAGAGAGAGAGAGAGAGAGAGAGA